GCAAATCCCAAATTCCCCCAAATCCCAAATTCCCCAAATCCCAAATTCCCCAAATCCCAAATTCCCCAAATCCCAAATTCCCCAAATCCCAAATTCCCCAAATCCCAAATTCCTCAAATTCCAAATTCTCCAAATTCAAAACTCCCCAAATTCCCCAAATTCCAAACTCCCCAAATTCGCCAAATTCTAAATTCCCCAAATTCCCAATCCCCCGAATCCCTCTATAATTAAATATCAAATACAAAATTCGAATATTAAATTAAAAAATTAGATATGAAAGTATAGAAAAAATTTTTGTTTCTTCCATAAAAACAAAAAATTTGCTTACAAACATGTAATGGTTTCCTAACATTTTTCTCTTTGTTTTTTTTCGTTTAATCGTCGTTGCGCTGGAATATTCGCAATAGTTCACAACTAACCGATCATGTAAATCCATTCCCACGTTTTTTATATGAAATTTTCACAATCACCTCGACAATCTTTCAAACTCGATTGCCTTCAGCAGATACCGATCGTGTGGAACAATCAATTTACTTTAAAAGTTACGCAAGTAATTGCTTTTTCAATGGTATATCAACTTCAGAATCGACATAGTTTTCTCTCTCTCTCTATTCATTTACAACGGATACTTCAATTAAACGTCAATGCAACATCGTGCATTTTAATCCCAAGCGTCATAATTCAATCCGATTACTTGATGGTTAATTTTTATTGCACTCGGGTGTTCATAAATCCATCAAGTTGACATGCAAGATGTGATATGTTGACGTGCAAGATTTACTCCTGATTTTTTGCTGCATTGTGTGTATTATTATACACACATTTTTAAATAATGAGAACTTTAACACGTGTGTGTTATTTTCAGTTTTTATTTGCAGGCTTAACACGTTGTCTGAATACAGAATACTGTCATACTGCAGCAATAGAAAATTTAATTTTCAACAATTTTGAAATTTGTCATTTTTATTTTGAACAAATCTTACCAAATATGTTCATAATATTTTCCTATATTTACTATTCATAGTTCCAAGTATTTAACACGAATATTTCCAAGTATGTACGTGAAGAAATTCTCAGTAACGCAGGTAATAGATTCATAAATGTCAGACATGCATGATGTGGTAATCGAGGTGTTAATTATGCAGCATTACAAGACAAATATTATAAATAACGGTTGTCACCGTGACAATTGAGATTTACTGTTGCAAATCGTGTGAATAATTAAGGTTAACAGTTACACACTGTATGAATAATGTTAACAGTTATAAACCGTATGAGTAATTAATATTAACATGTGAGTAATGTTAACAGACATGGACCGTATGAATAATTACGATTAACAGAAGCATTTAAATTGTACTTAAATTTCGTTAAGTAGTTACACAGTCTAATTATACATAGTTACAGAGCAAAGATAAATAATTTTCAATTATAGATAATGTCAATAAGTGACGTTAATCATAAGGTATATACATAATTGAGGTTAACCGCAGACTACATGAGCAACTAATACTAACAATCATAAATCATGTAAATAAAAGTAACAGTTGTATCTTAATTTTTCGTAAAGTTCGTCAACAAATGACATTTAAATTATACAGAGTTACAATACAAAAATAAATACAAATTTTTAATTATATACAGCATCAATAAGTGAGGTTAATTAGAAGTCATAGACACAATTGAGGTTAACCGCAGACCATATGAGCAACAAATATTAACAGTCACAAATCATAGAAATAAATAAAATTAACACTTAATTTTCCTTGAAGTTCGTCAACAAATGCGCACTCTATACCGAATTTCAACACAAAGATAAATATAAATTTTTAATATCAAACAGCATCAATAAGTGAGGTTAATCATAAGTCAGCAAGTGAGGTTAATTACAAGTCACATATAACTGAGGTTAAACCACACACGCAAGATTAAGTCATAACTCACATAAATAATTATGGTTGCGTCTCCAAGTTCATCGTCTAATTACAGCTTAATTACAGCAACAATACAAAGATAATGAAATAACATAAGAAATACATTTAGGTGGAACGTCAACGAAAACAACGCGTCTGGTTCCATGGGAACGAATCAGTCAAGTTTCTGTGATTTGTCTGAATCATTAGCCCCAAAAGTGGAGAAGGAAATTTAATTACTTAATGAAGCCGGTAGAACGATCGTTCGAGCGAAACGATTAATCACCCGCCTCTTCGTGACTGTTTCGTGCCTTGCCGGTTTCCGTTTCATTATAACTCGGTCACGCGCCCCTAAAGCTATTTAGGATTCCGACCAATTGCTCTTCTTCGACCAGTAAACTTCGATAAGAACGACCGTCCCGTTAACGGACCGAGTTTAATTACCGAATGCAAATGCAAATATACTTTAGGGACTGTTGTGCCTTCCTCTTCCTGCAACCTACGTGTGTCGTACCTAGATTGTCCTTCCTGACTTACCGTTTTACTTCGCTTTACACTTTCGAGTCTTTGGTGACCGAAGTAGTGGAAATTGCTAAGATAAGGGAATTTATATTATTCGGGGCTTTATTTGTTGGTTATAGTAATTATTGCATTGTTAAGATGTTGGTGAAATTGTGGATTGATATGGAGTATGGGAATTTATATTGGGTTATTTAGGTATTTGACCTACTGAGTGTAATTATTGTACTCGGGAGACTCTCATTTGTGTGTTACTGAAATAGTGAAAAGTGGCGATGTGGAGAGTGGGAATTTATATTGGCTTATTTTGACATTTGATCTATTGGTGAGGTGTAACCATAGGGGGGGTAACTATTATACAGGTTGTCTCACAACTAGTCTAGGTCCCTGAAATAGTAGCTGACGTGATTCTGAATAAAATTTCCCTTTGCGAAAATGAGATTTGAAGCTTCGTTTTTGAATTATTAAGGAAAAACACGGATCAATCAGAGCGCGAGGATTATTACGCGTTGGACTACTACGCGTCGAATATCCACGCGTTGGATTACTAGGCGTTGGATATCCACATGCTGGATTACTACGCGTTAGATTCCTACGCTTAGAATTACCACGCGT